TTACCTAAATTTGTTGTTATCCTCATCACCTTACTTTTTCTTATATTCACTTTTAATTTCCTCCTTTTACATACCCTACCAAACTCCTCCGCCAACCTCTGCAACTTCTTTTCAGAATCTCCCAAAAGCACAGTGTCATCAACAAAGAGCAACTGTGACAACTCCCACTTTGTGTTAGATTCTTTATCTTTTAAGCCCACATCTCTTGCATTCACTTTTCTTAGAACCCCGTCTATGAATATATTAAAGATCCACGGTGACATCACACATCCCTGTCTAAGGTCTGCTTTTACTGGGAAATAATCTCCCTCTCTCCTATATACTCTAACCTGAGCCTCACTATCCTCGTAAAAACTCTTCACTGCTTTCAATAACTTACATCCTATTCTATACATTTGAAACATCTGCCACATTGCCCTCCTATCCACCCTGTAATACGCCTTTTCCAAATCCATAAATGTCACAAAAACCTCTTTACCCTTATCTAAATACTGTTCATCTATATGTTTCACTGTGAGCATCTGGTTTTCACACCCTCTACCCTTCCAAAGCCTCCTTGTTCATCTGCTATCCTGCTCTCCGCAGAGTAATTACCTAGTATTAGATGCTGGAGCAGAGCTGTGCTCGTGGTGTCCAGTTGTTAGTGTGCATTGTCAAATATTTTTTCCAGTTGTTGTATTAGATACGACCGCCTTCTGGCTACCTGTCCAACAGTTCGATTTTGATTTTACGAAGACTATTGAGAGTTCCCCATGGAAAATAGAAAACATTAATGGAGTAAACGCAAACTGCTACAGTACCCGAGAGATTTTCTGTTTAAAAATAAAATTCGAATTTTATAGCAGGCAAAATGCGCCCTTGGGGAAATGTCACTAGTAGGGTACCACAAATATCTGTACATAAACCTATCTATACTGTTACAATTTATATGTAATACTGGAAGGAATAGAAAACTGAATGAATTTATTTGCAGTTGATAAAAAAAGCTCGAGTAATATAGAAAATGGTTGTAAATCTTTACAAGATGATATGAGTAAATTAAACAAACGAAGTGACAGGTGGATGATGGAACTTAATTTTGATAACTGCCATGTGATGGAAAGAGAAGAATTCGAAATTAGATCACGTAAAGAATAACTTTGTCTGCCAAATGATGTCAGTTTTTTTCCACAGAATCTTTATTCTTCCCGAGGTCTCTTCTGTTCTCGTTTACTCCCATTATCATTACATATCACAGGTCAATATTGAGTTTCATTATCCATCTCAGTCCTCTTACTTAACTTATACTTTATTTAGAGATTCACATCCAATGTGATTTTTTATTTTGCCTAAATTTTGTATATTTGCAAACACATGACTACAATTATTCTTTCCTTTTGGTAAATTGCTGATGTTATGTTAAAACATTATCAGTGGAAGAGGTAATATATGAGAGGCTGTTTCCTTTCCTCTATGAGGACATTTTAATTCTTGTCACTGTACGCATTTTCCTTCCAGAAATAACCAAAAAGGTGTGTAAACCTTGGGTGGAGGTTGTCCCAAGAAGGGTTGGAGGAAGTATGTAAAGAAGGTTTTGAATGCCAGGGGTTTGAACCTCCAGCAGGGTTATATTGGATTGAGTGGGGACAAGGGAATTTTATGGCTTGACGTGCTGTTGGAGTGTGGGTAAGGTCATAATTACGAAGGGAATTAGGGAAACCAATTCATCGGACTTAAGATCTCTAGGTGGGAAGTAGAGTGCCTGCATTTTGGAGGAGGGACGGAGCTGCTGCAGTCTGCAAGGTCATCTGAAATGTGATGTCTGCCCACTTCTGGCAAGACACTCATTGAATGAATGATGCTAAATATGCTACCTTTAGTTCACTGTCACCCTACCTTGAAGAAAGTCAGGCTTGTTAAAAAAATCTCTCGTCCATTGTCATACTTTGAATTTATTCCTCTATCGTTTTGTAGATTCCTGATTATTCTATCATGGAGAATGCTGTGAAGTTGTATCTTAATTCAAATATGTCAAATGAGGTTGTAGAGTCGTTGTGCTGCCAGAGTTTATAGGACCCAGCGAGCTTGGTAATAATTTATGGTCTATAGTGTACAATATTATGTGCATTTTGCGAAGGAGATACCTAATGTTGTGCAAACTGGTACACTAGTTGATTTTGGATTATTATTATTATTATTATTATTATTATTATTATTGTATTACATTCAGTGGAAGAGAGAAATTAAACTATGTTATGCTTCTCCCGTGGAGTTTAAAACGCCGATCCTGCTCTTGTGTTATGTGATTTTTGGTTTAGACTGGATTACGTTGGGTGAGTTACAACCCAAACTGGCCTAATAAATCCAAAACATTCCTTTTATAACACTGTACACGTTCAAATATCAATAACCTCGTTTCTACCCTAAATATATCTTTACGAAGTTTTTCACAGACCGAAACGTTTTGCCACTGAAAGCTTCATGTACACATTTCCAGTCTCTCCAGATATTTCTTAAGTAATATCTGTGACTCGTAGCAATTTGGCGGATCAAACAACGTGTACCTTACTTAAATATTACATTTTTTCTGATTCTGAAATGCAATTAGTTTTGAAAGACAAGTAATGTTACTTTAATGATTATATTTTATCTTCTTTCAATATATCTAGATCTTAAAATACAAAAATTACACAAACTTGTTTTTTTTTCAATTTGCTTGACAGAAAGTTGACGACCCATTGCAGGGACTAATATTATCAGTACTATTACTACCACGACTACTACAATCACTCCCTTCTTCCCCTTCCCCCTACCATATTGTCTTTAGACCTTCTTTACTTTCTCGAACTAATTGTGGCTTGACAATGATCCAGGAGGGACTGAAACATCGGCATAAGGTTCCTCGCATAATTGTGGGACTTTTAGTGAATTATTGTAGGTATGGTATAGTAGATTTTTTATTCTTGATGAAGTTTTTGGTTACTCGAGCGAGGCTTTCCTCTGGGTTACCCTTCCTAGTTCGAAGAAGAGCGTATCACACTATGTGATGGTAGGTTGTCCATCCCATACATAAGAGTGCCACTACATCTTACTGCAGGAAGGAAAGAGAATTTAGGTAATCGTTCGAAGATACCCTCAAGGGATTCCTAACTTGGGTAGATATGAAAAACGATTTTTTTAGGTCAAAAAAAAAAAAAAAGGTCAGGGGTCGACCTATAAACATTATTGGATTATACCAAGTTCCACATAACCTGTATACCGCTAGTCAAGGATACCCCGATACCTACACTCTGAAGTACGGTGCTCTCAGGGTATGTACATTGGTACATACCTCTCCGTGTATATACACTGATATTCACACACTGATATAGACTTCTCAGTGTATACACGCTGGTATTTACATCCACTCATACACACCTCTCTGTGTATGCATATACGCAGAGATACACACTTTTACTTGTATACCATATTGCCTAGAGTTTTTTTTTTTGTATGTTAAAAAAACAGAAAAAAAATTGTATTTAGCAAGGCTTAGAAAATTTAATCGATTTTGATAATTTTTAATGACAGAAATCCAACTTGACAGCAAGAACAACTGAACTTACAAAGGAAAAAAAAGATATACTTGCCAGCAAAGACATCTGGCCATGACAGCAAGGACAGCTGTACTTGACATGAAGGTTAAAAGTACGTAAACCAAGATAAACGTTAGTCAACAGCGAAATCTCAAATAATGACTGAAAGTCGAGGATTATATAATCAATATAGAGGAGAATAAAGCACACTGAAAAAACAAAAATAGAAAATAACAAATCTGTGAATGTAATCAGGCTCCCTCGAGTTTTTAATTTTATAAAAGTCAACCAATTACGTTTTATTGTTCAACAGAGAAACGAGATGGAGAATAAACGTCACGGTACCGTGGCTCTACGACGTTACAGTCGGTCATGAACCATTAAGTCGCGATTTAATGATGGTCGAGGATGGACCGAAACGTCTAGTCCCGTCTATATCACGGGCCAATAAAAGTTTGAGGTCACGTTTACAAACATGTCTCTCTCCCTAATTCTGGGAAGGTCACTTCAAGTCTGAACTTACTGTGCTCCAACACGTACAGGTTCTGTGAAATAGAACCCCCACGTTCACGTAGAAGAGATATCAGGGGGAACCTGAAGATCAGTTCAATAGCAGACTACTGCGGGACGCTGCTGCAGGAGAGCCAGACTCAACACGAGGGAAAAGAAGCCTTAAAACTCTGATGTAAATGTGTTTACATGACTGTATGGTAATGCATATCTGTTATTTTTGTTCTGTATGTATATGATGAATTATGTCATTATATGAACCGCACTTAATATTTGTGAATAATATAATCCCTGGGATTGTTAGGTGAGGCATGTCATCTGGTTCTTGAAGAGTCAAAATGTTGATCATATGGTTGAAAATAACTAAAGTGATAGAGACTAGACAAGATCAGATTCGTGATCAGTGTATCCAAGTTAGCTAGTGTTGCCTAGTGTTGCCTAGTGCTGCCTAGTGCTGCCTAGTGCTGCCTAGTGCTGCCTAGTGTTGTTTATGGGTTGGGCGTTAAGCAAATGTTCTATGGAATGAATTAGTCTTTAATAATGATAGTATAAAATCTTAATATGTTCCATTTATGTAACGTAAAATGATAGATTAACGTTCATTAAGACATTAAAGGGGATGCGTCTCGTGACGCAAATGCATCAGATGAGGACCAGCAACCACTGGTGGACCGGTGCTGAAACAATCGTTTTCGCACTGGTGCTGGGTGCCGATACACAGGAGAACATGGCAAAGACAGTTAGCAAAAGAATCGGAAGTCCACACCGAGGCTATCAGCTGAGAAGAACTATCTACCTATGTCTAGACTAGGAAGCATCATGTGTTATGTGATCGAACAACCAATGGAGCAACGATGAACATATCAGATATTAAGCGAGCGCTACCATACCGAAGCTTGGCTTAACCAGAACGAAGATGTAAGGGACTATACTCACTACTGCCAGTGAGGACACTGTAGGAAGCTGAGACCAGCGTCACCACGCAAAGGTTAACTGACTGACACACACAGACACCCCTTCTCTTCTATGTCCTCGGGGCGGGGCTAAAGCCTCATGGGGAGGAGCGAGGGACAAGCATGCGTGAACTCCAGACTTTTTGTATATAGAAAGATTGATGTGAATTGTGTGGGGGAATGTAGGATTTTCCTGACGTTTGACTGGCGTGTTCGGTGATCACAATGTAAACATAGACTTAAGAAATAATGAATTATGTTTAAGTATTAATAAACTCGATGCGTTTTTTTTCCGTGACCTTGGTGAGGATAGTGCATTAATTAGTTTAATGGTTTAATTATATTTTTTCCTAATTGTTGTGTAATTTATTAAATGAGGTTATTCTCGTTTTTATATTATTATTATTATTATTATTATTATTATTATTATTATTATTATTATTTTTATTATTATTATTACCGCTACCAATATTACTACTAATACTACTATTACTACTACCGCTATTTCTACTACTACTACTACTGTTACTACTATTACGGGTACTGTTGTACTACTACTACTGCTGCCACTACTATCGTTGCTGCTATTACTACTACTGCTGGTACTACTAATACTACTACTACTTTTACCATTACCGCTACTATTACCATTACCGCTACTATTACCATTACCGCTACTACTACTGCTAATGCTGCTACTACTGTTGTTACTATTGCTATCGCTACTACTACTATTACTTCTTTTAATTATTATTTCTACTATTACCTCTGTTAAGACTACTGTAAGACTACTGTTACTATTACTTCTGCTTCTAATACTACGATTCCTACTACAACTACTTTCACCACTCCTGATGTATATATTAAGTTTATATAGTCAATCTCTTGAAGTTTATGTTCTTATCTCAAGTTGACTCAAAGATAATCAGTTGAGTGTGATGTATACTTGATGTATACTTGATGTATACTTGATGTATACGTGATTGAAAATAAAATGAAGCAAATATCAGCAAGCCGAAGAATAATTTCAAAATATTAATATAACTTTTATTTTTGGGGGGGGGGAGGGGAAGGTCAAACACAAAAATCAATATACTATTCAAAAATTTTTTATGGTATTAATGGAAAATTATTGAAAATAGATGCAATATAGTCCATAAGTTTGAGATTACATTTCTTGAAAATCCGGAGAATATCTTGACGACTAGAACGAATCTCGGGAGATAATTAAAAGCAGTTCGGGACGACTGGAGTAAAATTTATATTGCGAGATTAAAGAATGGAATGGGTTCCGAAGGGGTCGTCCTCCTCAGTTCTTGAGACAAACCTGAAACATAATTTCTAAATTATTTAGAGTGGTTGATGAGTGAATAATATGTTATATTCCCAAGACCCGTATGTAGGTAGACAATAATGCTGTTACAGAAGACCAGAAGGCTGATTCTACTGACTCAGTTAACACAGACATCATATTTACTGAGGGTTTTAGCATGTCGTATCTTGGAGCACTTAAAAAACACTGTATTTTGAGCCTCGACATTAAGTTTTACAAAGGTTTCAACTGGTTCATGTTTGTGATGAATGGTTTGAAAAACCGACAAGTTGAAGATTAAGACACTTATGCAGCATATGGGAATCTTTATTCAGGAAACGTTTCGCCTCACAGTGGCTTCATCAGTCCAATACAAAGAGGAAGGCGTAAGGAGAGGAGGAGTGTGAGGTAATCAGTCCCTCAGCCTGGAGTCGATGTGTTCAGTCCATCAATCTTGTAGAATGTACATTCTACGAGATTGATGGACTGAACACATCGACTCCAGGCTGAGGGACTGATTACCTCACACTCCTCCTCTCCTTACGCCTTCCTCTTTGTATTGGACTGATGGTTCATGTTTGTCAGAATTAGACATTTATTAGGATATTTAATGGAGGACATAATGAAGCTTCTCTCTCTCAGCTCACTGAAAGTAAGATAATCAGTTGACTGTAACATAATAACGGAGAGTAGCAGATTATTAACGAGTGATGTATTGTAAAAGGAAACGAAATAATAAGTGTCGACATCAATCAAAGAGAAATTTCTAAATAACATCGTGAATTTAGCAACGTGTGTGTTATTTCTATGACGTTCAGGTTTTAACTGTGCTGGTACATGCTATTGAAAGAAGTTTTCAGAAATCATACAAGAAAAGGATAAAATTTTGGTCTTATTAATAGATATATGAAAATTTTTTTGTAGTGGGAGAAGTGATGAGGCGGCGAGTCAAGTTGATGGTACAGAGAGCTGGGTCCACTAGTTGCAGGAATACCATATTTCCATAGTCATGCATTACCTAAGATATCAGACAGCACGCACTCGTTATTATCTTTAATTTCTTCAAGGGGGGTGGATAGGTAAGCAAGCAGAAGGTCTCGAACGTGTGACCATAGGTTCCCGTGGCTGGTCATCATACGTCGAACACCCGCTTCAGGAAACACTTGTTCTGTCTCCCGACAAATCTTATCTAATTTAACTTCAGCTATCTTCCCAGTCATCCTGGGAACGATGAAATTCTCATGACATCCCTATGACTCAACTCTGCCTTTAACTTTTAGTTGTGCTCCCGAATACCTGTTTCCTACCTCTCAGTATATCCCTGCCTACCCTATTAATTCTACTGAGTATTTTGTACGTTGTTATCATATCTCCCCCTCTTCTCTATAATGTCGTCACGTTCAGTTCCTTTATCCTCTACTAATTGCTCGTACCCATTAGCTCTGGACATTAGCTCATTACATCCAACGTACCTTTCTCCAGTTTCCTAAAATGCTTTTCCAAGTGCCTGTTCCATGATGGTGCTGCATACCCGAAAATGGGCCAGGCATTTGTAGTATATAGGGCCATGGATGACTCTTTGCTGAGATTCCTAAAATACTGCTCTAAGGTTTGCCAAACGAGCATTGGTTGCACAGGTTATTTGGTTCACAGTTGCCTTCGGCGATATGCGTGGCAGTACTCACCTCTGGGTCGTCTTCCTTGACTGAAGTTTGAGGCATTTGTTACCCAAGTTTAAACCTCTTTTCCGGTCATTTTACCCCCTTCTCTAATCTTAATAAATATGCATTTGCTGGAGTTGAATTCAAGCAACAACTTATCTGACCACTTTTACAGCGTGTCCAGCTCTATTTGTAACAGTTCCTAGTCATTATCGGTTTTTATTTTCATTAGTTTTCAGTCATCAGCAAACAGGGATACATCTGACAAAATCCTATCTCGCTTATCATTCATATATATCAGAAACCCGTGTTGGTTATGTTTTTATGACATCAGTCATAGTGATCTGTTGATCAGCGCTTCCTGCCTTCTTAACCATGGGATTACATTCGTTACCTTCAGATAACTAGCAACAATTCCGTGTAGATCTTAACTAGTGGTTCGGTCAATGCTTCTAGTCTCTCACCGAATTCACTCCATTTGATTTATCCATCACGTTCAAACATTTTTTACCTCTTCTGTTGTGTGTACGATGTCCAGTACCTATCCCTGTATCCTTTCCCACTGGCTCTCTGGTACTGTCCTTATTTCAGACTTAGAACACACGTTTAGATTGTTCCACATTTCACCGACTTGTCGGCGAAATGTGAGCTCCTCTCCTTCAGATGTACTTGTGGTAAATACTAGAAACAATCTTGCCGGCTCATTTCCTCCTCTATCTTATGTCGTGTCCTTAACATGCTGATATGCAAAGATTCTCCTAACCACTTCCGTCATCTTAGCCCTCCCAATGTGGGTCCCAATTCTCCCAGTCTATTTCCATGTGGTTAAAATCACCGATGATTTCATCTCAGTTTGTAAAACCCATTATCAACAACGTATATAAACTCTACACGAGGAACAAATGGGCTGGTAAAACCATATTTTAAATTGAGAAAAAAATGAATACTTTTATAGCACTGGAAAGGGAAAAACAGAAAACGCAAATTTGGGATTATAAGAAAATTACAGAGTTTGTCATTAACCGAGACTTAACGTTTTCTCTGGCGCGTTAAGTCAAGATAAACAATGACTTTTTTCCTAAGCGACTCACGCACAGTGGCCAAAAAACAAAATAATCTATTTATTTTTCCTGGAAGTCATACATGATAATTTAATAAATTTAGGAAATTCGAGTTCTAAAAATATATATAAATATTCTAAATTATATTAGCGTTCTGACGACCGGCAGTACGAATTATTATTATTTTAACTGAATGAGTAGATTACATGTAACAGTGTATTTACACTGTGTCTCTCCGTGTATGCACCGAGAGGCGTACATCTTCCAGTTTATATACACTGATGTATATGCATTGAAAGTATGCATTTTCCAGTGTGTATAATCTTAGAAGTTTGTATTTCTCCGAGAGTTACACTTCTACAAAAATGTATACACCGAGAGGTGTGTGAATCTCACTGTAGTTACTGTGAGGTGAACATCTTCCAGTGTATTTACACTGAGAGGTGGGTGTCTCTCAGTGTATATACCGAGAAGTTTACATTTTAAAGTATAAATATGCATGTAGATGTGTGTATCTGTGTATATACATTAATAGATGCTCAGCTTTGTATATACACCGATAGATGTGACTCAGTATATTCAGAGATGTGTATCTCTCAGTGTATATACATCGAGAGGTTTATGTCTTTCATGTACAAGCAGAGAGAGAGATATATGTAACTCTCAGAGTATATATATCAGGAAGTGTGTGTTAGAGTGTATAACATAAACATACCATAAACATAACAAAAACATAAAAACAGCTGAAGCATTAATGTTTTGGAAAAACATAAACTCACTGATCTACCATGCGCTTTAACAGACATTTTGTTTCTTTAGCCTGCATGACAAGTCTGCATGACGTCTTCCATACTGTATATATATATATATATATATATATATATATATATATATATATATATATATATATATATATATATATATATATATATTATATATATATATATACACTTCCAGTCAGACTAGGAGGCATTGGTGTCCGCAAGTCATCACAGATTGCG